GAGACGTTCGAGCTCAGCGAACTGCTTGCGAAAATCGCCACCCCAGAGCGTGATCGTATGCGCTTCGTCGATGGCGATGCACAAGACGTTGTCGGTGAAGCTCGGCGTCCGCATGAGTTTTGAGAAGCCCTGGTGCTCGAGCAGCATTTCAGGAGACGCAAATATGGCACGGAACTTCTCGTCAACAAGGTCCTATGTAAAGTACTCAGTACCGGCGCAATATCTAGATGGCGGGGCGCACTTGACGAAGTTGCGGGCACCATGTGGCCGCATTTACTGCGGCCGCCGTGAAGCCGACAGCTTTGAAGCGTTTGACCTGAGCAAAATAATTCGTCAAGTATCTATACTTGTAGCAGAGCATATCGGTGTGATACACTGCACTAAAAATGAGTGCAGAGATTGGGTATATGCGCTTACCTGGTCTCTCTGCAACTCAGTGAGCGGAGAGACGATGATAATCTTTTTTGTCTTTGATGCGTCGGCCAAAAGAGCTCCCATGAATGTCCAAGTTTTTCCGGCACCAGTCCCGGCAACCAGAGCAACATCGAGACCCAGATACATAGCCTCAGAGGTGTCAACCTGCCAGGTGTGAGCGATCTTGCCTGTGAGAGCTTGTAGACCATCAGAAATTTGCTTTCTCGTCGCCTCTGAAGAGTATTTGGTGTTCCTCTTTGCTATTTTACGAGCACGCCGCAGGAGAGAGCAGAACTCCGAGCTGAGGTTAGGTGTTGCGGCCATGCCAACGGAATCGATAGCTGCAGATGGTGCCGGAAGATCAGATATAGTCGCCATGGTAGCAAGATCGCAGGGCATGGCAAAATTACGGAAGCTAGGGCGAGGAAAAGAGTAGAGACACGTCGCGCTGGCGGAGACGCGACGAATTAATTAGGCTCGGCGCATGCGCGCGCTGGTCACGTGCGGATGAGACCCCCCCGGATGATCCAAGTGGACCAGACGCTCTAACGAGCCAGTGCACTTTGCTTTCAAAGTCCGATGCACTAGCCGACAGTGTTTACACGTCGGAGTTAAGAGCGGATGGGAACGAGACTAAGTCTTTCGACACAAACGTGCTCTCCGACATCTGACCCGTGTCGATACATTGCGCTCTGCCAAGTATATGCTACAGCCCCACAGCTGATACGCGCGACGTCCTCGATAGTCACACTTTTCCTGCGTCGAGGATAGAAGGTCGACGACCTCCCCTCTCCTCGGCTGAACATTAGCCATAATGTATACTCGCATACGCTGATAGCACTCTGGCTACGGTGCGCAACCTCTTCATTCCTCCGCCACTGCGATTCTCACCAGCAACCAGCGCTGTTCGGTACAGGGTTATTCCAGCTCCCGTACCACACGACATACCTCGCTCAGTCGAGTCTCAGAAGCAATCATTAGCTCCGATAAAGGTTACCTTGTCCGCACTCGGGTGCTTTTTATGCAGTGCGGACAGCGTGAGGTGCGATAGTTCTTGCTTGGTATGCGACCGCATCTTACAGATCACGCATGTACCCCCTTCCAGAGCCCAGTCCTACACCTCAATCGCAATTCGAAGTGCAGCTAGGAAAGCTGGCCAAAATAAGTGGATTACCGTGAAAGCGGCGGCAGGCGAGTTGTGTATCGAACTGAACAAGGTACGTGGAGATGCGCTTTGATAGAGAGATACCTGTAGAGACAGCTCACCTCCAGTTGTGCAGGCAACACAACAATTCACTGCTCTCGGTCAACTCTGACTATGCATCCCGTCCGGAATACCAGAATGAGTGCCCGATACCTCATCACTCCGAACAGATTACTCATCTCGCCTTTCCATCCCGCATCGCGGTTACCACGACACATAGTCCCACCTATAGACGAGCTGCTCATGCATAGCTTATCCAGCGCACGATGCAAGCGAAAAAAACACGTCTTCTAGCTCTCGATTAGGTACTAGTTGTGTATCTAACACTCCATGCACCGTTTGCGTTCCGTTCGCGGCTCGCTATGCGCGCGGCGGATTTTCGAGTTGATATGCATGAGCGTAGGTCTTCTCGCCCATGTGTATCGCATCAAAACTGACAAGCGTGAACATGCCAGATATTGGCCGGTACCCACAAGCGAGGAAACACTTCGCGAGGCGTCTTGCACTTGGAATGCGCGCTGCCGCAGGCGCCAGAGTATATCTGACTCCCTATGCCCCCACTGTGAGTTCCAATTCCCTCAACGGTCGCGTTTATCCTCAATTTACGTTTCGGTCTGTCCCAGGATTGTCTCATGCGGTTCGAATACGCGCCCCTCAAGCTGAAGCCTGCCGAGACAGATCTCGTACATCGGATATGGTAGCACGCAATGGCCTGTCTGGCTGATGAGCTCGCTAAGTCAGAAACTGTACGCCAGCGCATGATGTCCGCTCTTCTCTATGCTAACGGGACGAATGTTGCTCCTAGTTCGTTCCCCAATGCTCTGCCATCAATCGCATCATGATCTCTGAAGTCGTCGGCGCAGGCAATGTCCGGGCTGCTGTCATGCTGGTCGATGTCATTGGGACGCGGAAGTGACACGAAACACTCAGGGACACTTGAGGTGTTTGAGGCGGAGTTTCATGCTGTTTGACTTGCGGAGTCGCGACATAGCGTCAGACACCGAGCGTGCTGTGGCTTGAACGTAGGTGAATTATGACAAAGTGTATGTTATCGATCGCAAGCGGCCTGTGATGAAGAGTAGTTGCTATACTGAGGCAGTGGTGCGAGTCTGGTGGCGTTTGGCGCAATCCAGAAGATCTATCATCTCAGATCTAGCGATACCGCAGCGTATCGCTTTGCTTCCACGCCGTGTTGCCCAGGGTAAAGCGAAGCAGCCGGATCAGGCTGTTCCGCCTCAATGTCTACCGTCCGAGTCAGACCCGACTTCTGCGTCGATGTCCTTGCCGAACGCGAGTCGGTGAGGTCGCTGGATACCTGGGAAGAGCACTATGCAGAGCGCATGATTCTGAGAAGCAGCAGACGTCATCAGTACTGTGACGATCAGCGTCAGCGCCGAGAGGGAGAGAAAAACTAGCTCACGAATTAATGCATGCGTCTCCTCAGCGTTCACAGATGCAGCGCATCTTCCTCTCCAGGTGCTCCACCATCCTCTCCTCGTTCAAATATACACTCAACGCGTCTACAGCTCCGCCAGCGGGCATCTTGCTCCTGTCGTCACCTTCTTCACCTCTCTCGCTCGCCGAGTACCGCCTGATTGGCGGGCTACTTCAGCCTGAAGAGACGCGCGAGCAGGTGCGGCGCATGTACGATGCGGACATCTCGCTCGGGGGTGCGGCGTGGTCTTTTTCGCGCGTGTTGGGGCATGGGGACTGATGGGTTGCCAGCGATGTGGAATGTCACTAATTTGCATCACGCGGTGAGGGAATTCGCGGTAGAACTGGTGTCGTTCCTAGTGGTGATCGAGGTGGATGAGTGCGAGCCATGTTTCTAGAGACAAATCAGCCGCACACTTCTCGCGAACAAGAAAGCACACCCACAAGTTCTGTTCGATGGGATCAGCAGCAATATCCCGCGCCCACATCGTCAGGATCGTCCTGACGCGGCTGTCGGTGCCGATGTCTCTGCGGAAGCCACTGATCGCGACGACTTCTCTTAGCTTGTAGGTGCTCGTCTAGAGCAGAACCGTAGTCATGAGCTGCAGATAATGGCCCTCGAACACAAGCGGGAAGCCATCGAGGGCAGTGGGGTTGTCCGCCGAGATCACGGGGGTGATGGGCGTCGGGAGCAGGGACGAGATCCGGGTGTCAAGCAGAGGTTGTGGGCCTGGCTCGGAACGGCGTGTAATCCAGAATGCGAATGGTAAAAGTTCGTGGTTGAAGACGAGGTCGGAGCCGATTTTGTGAACGGGAGTCGGCTTTCCCGAAAGGAGTCAGATCTGCAACATCTTGCCCGAACGCTGCGTTACAAGCAGGGCCGGCCTGATTCGCCTGAGCGGCCAACCCAGTGTTTGTTTCTTGCAGCATCCTGAAAGTATGTCCTGCAATGTATGAGATTCTATTATCATTCCATATGACACACGACTCACCAGGGTAACTTGAGACGTTGAACAAAAGTGTGGGCGCTCGGAGTGCGAATTGATCGTAAAGCGCATCTTGTTGGAATTTGTGCAGCTCTCATCCCAGCACGAATGCGAGCAGCGAAAGCTCGGAAGCAACTGCGGACAGTATCGCTAGCGCGAGCTTGAGCTTAAGGGCTTATAACGAAGTGGGTCCAAAAGCGAGTTTGTAAGCGAAACGAGCCGGCAGAGTTTATAAAGCACCAGCCTGGCCTGGCCATCACGAGGCAGATGCCCTGTCGTCGAGCGACGTCGGTGGCGAGTGCGTTCTGGGCGTGCCCTGCTGTCATGAGTGCGGATGTCATGGTCATGACTCATGCTGGACTTGCCGTCGAAGCACATCACGGTCCATCTCGTCTCTGCCAGCTTGGCGGGGCGTAAATATATGAATGGAAAAGCGTCCATGGCATACACAGAAACACAGGGTGCTTATATCGCTAAGACCATCTGCTGACTTTGGACATGGAAGTCGTGGTCCAGGTCGAGCTCTGTAGGAGGCACGTGATCCATCACTTTGTGGCGCGGTAATATTCTCCGCGAATCCGTTTCCACCATGTCCGCGCAGCTTAGTTAGCCAATAGCAACAGGAGCTTAACCTCCCGTACGCTGAAAATCCCTCCTCTAAGCGTAATTACATTTGTATCTTAGGTTGTATATAGCGTACTAATCGTATTATAGACGAGTCAAGTGTCCGTATCGTTGCCTAGAGCCTGAGCGCAGCCATCCTGCGAGCCGGCCCTCTGCAAGTTTAAGTGGTCGCCTCGCGAGTCTGAGTGCGGAGTGCGTGCACATGCATGAACATATGTTCACTCGCGTGCACGTATGTGCATATACGCGTGCGTACGCGCACATACACGCAGCGAAAACGAGGTATTGTAGGCTGAGTTTTTATTTTTGTCCAATAACGACCTCAATGGAGGGCGATGCGCCCCTCCGAAGAATCTCACCGGACGCTGGAGTCTGCCCTGTCATTTTTTAGCCCCTGTGACAAATCGAGCACCCTTGTCTGAGGAAGTTTTGAATCATAGATACTGTACCTGTACGACCAGTCCGGTGCGTCACGCATCACTTAGCCCCCGACCGCCGCTCTCGAGAGCGGCGGCCACGTCGTCACAGGGGGTGCCGCCGCTTTTCATATTTACTTCTGCTAAATTTGATACTTGAGGTTTTTTTCCGCCTGCAGCACAAGATGTACGAGAAAAAAACCTACGCGTGCCTTCTGTGGTGTTGACGCTGTTCTTGCCTCTGCTGTTGCTTTGTAGGGTTGCGTCTGGGCCGCCGCCACTGTTCAACTGCCCGATTCTTGACCGGTGTTACATGTCACCGCCAAGCTCGCCGCTCCGCCTGTCCGGTGGTCTACTGTCGCATGTCACACCCGTCACCGGACTGGTTATACGGGTACAGCATATGAGGAGATGCAGGGTTCTGTCTCATGTATCGTCTCTCTCTTTTTTCTTTTAGCTTACATTTCGATGCAGACACAAACTTTCGACATGAAAGTAAAGCTGTCCTGGGGGGCTATCGCGTCACAAAGTTATCGATGACACGCCCCAAGCTGAGACTCGACCTACCACGTCCATCTAAGACAGTGCCAGGCTACTCGCTAGCCGTCAACCCAAACATTTCAACTGCTGTCCCGCCACGTTGTGTGGCCATAACTCGACGTAATACTTGCGGCCTGGGCTCCCCGTCGAGGTCACAACTTGAAGGTGGAAGAGGTCTTGCGAGCAGACGTGTACTGTACTTCTTCGACCTGAACGGCGGCCGGTGTGACTGTGGCCGTGTACAACCGTAGCGGCGACAGCGGCGGGGGAATCAGTGACCTGTGATAGCCGCCGCAAAGCGGCGGCGACTGACCAGTTCCAGGGGGTCTCTAGGGGCACGCCGCACGCCCGAAACTTTTGGCCCGCCCATAGTACCTGTCACATACCGGCGAGCCCCTCTGTGTCCCGTGACAGAGACCTCCAAGCGAAAAATTTGAGGTCCCTGTGACCTGTGGTCGCCGTTCAGGTCGAAAACCTCCAGTATTACCGAGCTCCGATGGTAAAGCTCGCATGTCCGGATTTTTTAACCCTTGTGTGTGCAAGTAGCGCTATATCGAGATATACAATAGGCTGCTTCACTTTTTAATAAGGTTTTTATCAAGAGATTCAATAGCATGACATGCTGCACCGTGCTCTGATCGAGTCCTTGACAGGTGAGTTGCTGATATAATTTATGGTGAAATGTAGACAGCTCAAACGCGATTGAAATCAAGGTACGATAAAATCTGGAAAAGCATAAATGTACCGCAAAAAAGTGAATATATGCCTCAGTGCCATGGCTGAAGGGCCAATCATCCATACCCTGCGTTTCCTGCATCATTCATAACTTAATCATTTGGTAACTACAAAATTCATATATAAAGCTGCACTTTAAATCAATCAGCGCTCAAAACGCACATATTTGTTGAGTGTCACGAAGATGTGAGTGTCTTGCATTGCATCGCAATTACCCCACCTCACGTGCTATGCACCCAATCTCCTGACAATCCAGTGGCGAGCTGAGATGTCTGTTGAGCATTATTAGGTCCCCTTAGATGAGCCCAGTGTGAAAGTGCGACTGAAATCTTGCTTTATTCTGTGCTACAGGGCCAGTATATATACATGTGAGTCAGGACCTCTGATACCGCTATAAGACCTATGGTACTGTGAGCGTAAGCATGTATACTAAGCATGAGTAATCAGATGTCGTATCACTACAAGATAATAGAGGGGTCATGTGATGATATCCCCATTAGTCCGTACAGGGCAATGACGTAATCGCCCAGTTCTGACACTCCCACTCGACTAGTTATTGCCTAATCTACTGAAGACCAAGCCTAGCATAGACCGGAAGCGCTCAAATTTCGTTGCACCAAGTGGTTTTGTCAATGTGTCGGTGATCATTTCGTTCGTACTTGTCGTGGGCGTAGCCCCGGCCTCCTATTTTATTCCCATTTTCTCCAATTTATTCCACGATTATACGATCCTCCAAACGTCGTCGGCGCATAGGCGCCAGTTTACAAGCCATAACCGCGCGCTAAAACACCTCGAGAACGCATCACCGATGGACACGCATCAGCGCATCAGATGCACCTGCATCGCCGCCGCCTCGTCGCCGCATCATGCTTCCTCGGTAACAACCGCACTCCAATCTCCATCGGAGATCCGATCCCCGTCGGCCCGACAACGTCATAAGCCATGACACACTGGCCCCATCTATCTTCGAATCCGATCGGCAACGGACTTCCTATTCCCGTCGGCCCGACAACGTCATATGGTATGACACACCGGCCCTCGTTTCCCCGCCTAAGTCCCCTAAACACTAGCAGTCGCCGTAACACCAGTCGCTTATGTAAAGCCTGGTCCGTGCGCAACCTGACTAGTATATAAGGCTCCCCTTTGTCGCTACCTAGCCCCATTTCAACCTCTTGGTTAATTGGGCTAGGTAAGCCTTCACTTGTATTGTAGTACAG